TTCTCCCCTGTGACGCAACTCATTCTCATTGGCTCTAAACTCCCGTGGAGGGGGGGTTTCCTTCGGATTGGCCTTCGGGTTGTCCTTTGAAGATCGTCCATGTGGCATCATTGACGGGTCGAGCTCCAACTTGCCCAGTTGATCATGCTGCTGCACTGCCTGATTGCCTACTCTTCACCTTGACCAAACTAGGCAACCTCAATCGAAGATTCACGGTTCCGGCCCTCAGCGTGGACGAGTCAGCCAAGCCGACGAGCGCCCTACAACGACGACGACAATCGCCAGTGCCTGACCCACTGCCACACACGATGCGATCATAAGTGCCACCGAACAGCTCCCCCGCCACTTCGCCCATCATGTCATTCACGAATGCGCCCGTGACGCGCGCCCTGGTCATTGGTCTTGTGTCGAGCTCCGTCGTCGCGAGTTTGTTTGATGTGAAGCATTACTTCTACATTCTCGTGGACTCGCATTTCTGGCAGTACCGTCAATTCTGGCGAATGCTGAGTTATCAGCTATGTTACACAAACTCGAGCGAGGCCTTGTTTGCCTCCATGACCCTCTATCAACTGAGGATTCTTGAGCAGGTCTGGGGATCGAGAAAATATGCCGTAGGTTTCTATACCGCTCTGCTAACGGACCGGATGCTGACATGGTTGCTTCACAGTCCTTCATTGTCGTCTCTGGCCTCCTCACAGCTGTCCTCCCGCCAGTGCTTCTGACAGTCTTCCTTCGGCCGCTGACAGCGGGACTTTTCAACTACATGCCGGCTGGTCCGACTCCCATCATCTTCGCCATACTCGCCCAATACCATGCCATTATCCCACACATCTATCGATATCGGGTCGCTACGTCGTCTGCCAACCCCTCGGGCGACTCTTTCACAGGCATCACCTTGTCTGATAAGTCGTACAAGTACGCACTTGCCCTGCAGCTGGCCCTGTTCCAGTGGCCGGGTTCGGTCCTCGGTGCGCTGGTGGGATGGGTCGTCGGACACTCCTGGAGGAACGATCTCCTCCCTAGTGCCATGACGAGGTGGCGCGTGCCTGGGTGGCTCGTAGGCATCAGAGCACAGAGGAGGCGCGACGAGTTTGAAGGGCTGAGGAGGAGGCTGGAGGGCGAAAACACATCTGCCACGGCCTCGGGGGTTCAGGCTCCGGTCGAGGGGAGGAGAGGGAAGGCAGAGGACTGTTCCTCAGGAGATGCAGGACCAGCTGCGAGGGTTCATGTAGGTTTTTCAGCCAGACAGACGAAAGAAATAAACCCCCAGACGAAAAATAAAGCCAGGCCACAACAGCCTGGCACGTTTTCAAAAGTCTTTTCTTGCATGTCCTTCGTTAGAGTTGAGCCTCACAGTAACGGTCTTGATATCGACTATTGATCCCATATATCTCAGCCCCGCTTATTCCGACCCTAGCCCAGGCCCTGGGATGACCCGAGATTGCAATCGAAAAGGGTGCAGAAGCGGCAATTGTCGCATGATTGGCTTAGCGAACCCTCTTCAAATTCGAGGCCACCTCTCTCCTACACGCGTTGCACACCTCAATGATGACACACGGTGTGCTAGACGCTGACAGGATTTGCTTTCCCAAAGTTGAACACGTCACTCAACTGGGACATTCCCCCAGCGCAGGCCAAAGGCGACACTCAGAGGAGGCTAGCTAAGAATACAGGGCCCGTAAGCGCGACTGGCACTGGCCTCGGGCGGGTGGACGCGCCTGACATGGCGGGTGCGCGTGGCGGAGAGACCCCAGCCACCCCAGGCGCTGAAAGTAAGACGTGGGCGGGCCCCCCAAAGGGGAATAGCGCCTGGAGCGAGCAAATGCGCATCGCCAGATGCGCCTGCAAGGGGTTCACCGTAGGTACCGCAGACAAGAGGTTGGCCCTCTCCTCCCAACCAATGCCGCCCTGCCTACCGTCTATGCCTGCCGCTGATGGCATCGCAGCCACTTCTTTTTCTCTTTTTCTTTTCACGACTCGACAATAAGGTGTGTAGTCTCGACGTACCCGACGACCTTCGCTACGACATCCCTCGACGAACTTCTCGACTTCCGAGTCCCAGTGGGCCTTTGTGCTGGAACCCGCTGCAGCCAGCCGTGAACGAACCCCTAATCGAGCGCCCCCACGCGACGACCGCCAACTGCTACATCAAGTCCGACGTGCTCGACGGACCCCCCCCCCCCTTTTCTCTTGCGCAACCTGAGCGAGTCTGTTTGGAGGATGCTGTGAGCTGGGTAACTGCTGTGCGGATAGTCACCAGCTATGGACCGGTCTTCGCCAGGAAGAGACCCCTATGGGTATGCGCCGGGGAGGCTCTCCCCAGCCCAGTACCAGCAGCCACTGGGCATCAACGGCAAGACGCTGGTCGATGGATACGCCAGGGATATGGCGAACACTTCCAGAGGCGATGCGCCCCGTTCTAGTCCGGTTCGTGGTATTCCGTGGCAGGCATCACACCAGGGGCGCTTACTGACCCTTTATGCAGCTCAACCCTGGACAGATCCAGAGTTCTGCTCTCGTAGACCTCAAAGACCCGATACAGGTGCATCTTCTGACGGAAACGGCATTGACGGACAGCAAATCCTACGAGATCCTTTCGCAGGAAGAGGTGGACGGGCTCAAGAAACAGATTCAGACGTTGACGCAACGGATCCAACAAGCCCGAACGAATCTTACCATTCAGACGAAATACCGGGATGCCGCGATATCCATGTCCAAACTTTATTCTACCGGCAAGCAAGATGGAAATAGGAGGAAGAGCTTGCTCAACCGGTACAGCGGAGGAGACTCTGCTCGCGAGGCCGAGGCGGAAAGACAGGCGAGCGAGAAGAAATGCGAGGAGCTGGCCACCCAACTCTGGAACCTCGAGAAGAGCCTCATGGAACCCCGACAGCGGCTGCTTCAGCACACGGCTGCCATTCTCCAGTTGACGCACAAGGCATCAAAGAAGGCCGCGCCACGGAACATGGGGCCGCCTGCCAATGGCATGCCGGGGAGTCCTGAGAGTCTCTATGCCTTTTCAAACGGTCGCAACAGCATGGAGCCTGGCGACGACATGTACTTTAACGACCAAGGCCTCTACCAGAGCCTCGATGACGGGACCCTCGGTCGAGGCATGGGCTCCATTCCCATCGAGCCACCGCTGAAGTCCGCCAACCGGGAGCAGAATGCCCAGGCACAGGCAGAAATCGAGCGCCTCCGAGGCGAAACCGCGCAGAGGCAAGCCGAAAATGAACGCCTCCGAGTCGAGTACGAGCAGGCGCAAGCTGAGATTGATCGCCTCAGAAGCGACAACTCCCAGTTCCTCTCGGAGAATGAACGCCTGCGCTATGAAGTATCCGAAGCCCAGGCTGGGAGCGAAGAGAATGCGCAAGCACGGGGGCAGGGTGAACAGCTGCGGCATGAAAACAACCAGCTCCGCGCTCAGACTGATGCCCTAGCGCAAGAACTTGATGCCTGGCGCCAGGAAGACTCCCAACGCCTTCAATCGATATCGAGCACGGAGCAGAAGCTCGAAACGCTGAATCGCTCCTTGCGGGACGTCATCGTCAAGCTTAACCCAGCCAAGAACAGCGACTACCAGGCTCCGCCGTCAGGCGCTTCTGCCGGATCTGAGAGGTCTCTGCAGGGTTCTTCGACCCTCGACAGTCACTTTGCCTATCTCGAGCGAGGCCTGCGGACGGTTCAAGAAGACCAGGAATTCCAAACGTCGCAAAGCTTAGAAGAGGCCGAATCAGCAGCTGCTACCGCGTCTATAGCACTGGCCCGCGCGGAAATCAGGGTCGACAATCTCAACTCGCAGCTTCGCGACCTGATGCTGTCCGTCGACTCCAAGTACCCAACTCCTCCTGATGTGACCAACTCGGAGCTCGATGATCAGTTTGACTACGCCGATCGCTCGCTACAGGCCCTCGAAACACAGCTGAGCCGCGTCGATCAACTTACCGCCAGCAGCGAAACGAGGAAGAGAGAGGGCGACCAGTCTGAAGCCGTGCTAATGGGGCTATGGGACATAATCCAGAGCGGTTTTGCAGATATCCAGCAGCGCAAGGATCAGCGGCGTAAGATGAGGGCGGAGCAGGGTCTGGAGCCCGATGAAGATGACGTATCGGGAGACGAGGGCATGGACGTCAACGAACCTTATTCCCTGTCTGCCTTCTCAACCAAGGTCCAGTGGCTCTATGCTCAGGCTACAAAGTTGAAGGACCAAAAGTCGGTTCTAAAGAGGCAGATCAAACAGCAACGCGAGTTGAACAACAAGTCGGATTCGGCCAAGGACGAAGAGCTGCGGTCGAAGCAGGACGAAATCGATCAGATCAGAGCCTTGCTCGAAAGCTCGGCGCAAGAGGCGAACAAGGCCCAAACACTGCTCTCGCAGGCATTGCAAGACGTTGAAGACGCCAACAACGCTCGCTCCGTCAATGATGCCAGCGCTGCTCAATTCAGGCAACAGCTTGAGGAACGCGATGCCAGAATTGCGGCGCTGGAGGCGGAAAGCAGGTCTGTCCAGACAAGAATGGCCGATGTCAGCTCGACGGTACAGGACGCGGAATCAAAGCTCAACCAGGCCAAGGAGAACGTAGCGCTTCTCACCACCAAGCTGGCAGATGCCGAGCGACTCGCCGAAGAAAAGCAGCAAGAGGCTGAAGCCAAGTCAAAGGAGGCCAAGGATCAGCAAGAGGAGATGGACAAGATGAACGAAATGATGGTCGGCCTTAAGACGGAACTCACCTTCGCTCAGGCCGAGCTAGACGGCGCTTACGGCTCTCGTAAGGAGAGGGCTGCCGCTGTCGCCGCTGTCAAGAGCACGGTCGAGGTTGAGCAGCTGAAGACGGAGGTGGAGCGTCTTAAGGATGAGCTGGCGTCGACGCTCAAGGAGCTTGAAGGCATCACAGCCGAGACTATCGGCCCCGAGCGTGAGAAGCTCGATGTTGAGGGTCGTCTTGACGATGCCCTG